TGGAACTGCTTCACCTGCATCGAGAATTTATCAAATCTTTAGTGGAGGTAAGATCTGTTCCTTATTATGGTATGCAGAATAAGCAACATTTAACAAAAAAAAATTGGAGAAAAAAGGGAAGAAATCAGATTCAACTTACATTAAGCGCTAGTATCTTGCTATATTTGAGACCTGGAAATACTCAAATGCTATTTCCCCCTCCCCATTAAAAACACAATGGTAGAAAAATGTTATTTTGTGTGGAAGTCTTGTAGAATATTAAGAACCTGTTTTGTTCGTATAACATAAAGACAGTACAGTTTAAGCTAATACAGTATCGAGGAAAAAAAACCCCACATAATGCAACCGGGAATATTTTTTTCTTCCCTCAGCAATATTTCCAAATACTGGCAGTTAAATATGTTACAGATTTATTCAGTTACTCTCTGAAGGATCAGATAGTCTGTAATTAGTGTATACTTATTGCTTTATGAAGGTTGGCTAATATGACTAATCTCTGATTGCTCAAGAAATCCCCCGGTTTTGTTGTGGGTTTTTTTAAACTTATTTCTTTCATCACCCTGTACATTCAAGCCGTTTATTAAAAACATGGATTTGCTAAACATTTCTTTCAAGAAAGGAAATTATAAGTGTGCAAATTAAACAAAATCATATTTCCTATAAAGCTCATTGACTCTGCTTGATTTCTTGTTATAAGAGAGTTGTATGTATAAACTACCTGCTCACAAGAGCTATAAAACTACATTTTCTAGCACTAGTCACAGACACTCTACATCCAACAGTTACTGCTTCTAGTTGGGGTTTTTTGTAACCTGCACTATCTGGAGAACAGGAAACTTGTCCAAAAAACTAAATTCATGTAAGTTGACAGAAGAAAGACATGATTTTACTAGCAAACAGTGAACACACTAACTGATTTTCTATGTAATCTACAATATCCAATTTTAGAGATCTTTTGTTCATGAAATAAGTGATATTAGAAAATATATTCTTGCGTTACTTTATTTGAAATTATAACCCCTACTTTTAACCTTTTTTTTCCTCCCCTTCACAAGGGCATGCAGCAACTAATTCAGTTTTACAACTGACAATATGAAGAATGCAGTTGACCGGGTATCTTTCTAGCTGTATGACCTACAATCAGCAGGATGCATCACTAAAATGTATTCTTAAGACATAAAGGAATTAGAAACAAAACATGGAACACACTTGTGTTACCATTTACGTGCACGACACTTCAACAATATACATGGACGACTAACACATCTGCTCAGATTTTCATTAAAAGAAGAGTGCAATGATTGATTCTTAAAATGGTGAGCATTTCTTAAAGAGGGATTTATAATTTAAAACCAGAATTGTGGAAACTACTGATGCATGAAGAAACAATGAAACATGAATTCCCAAAAGGAGAATATGCATACTTCACCAGCAAGCTGAATAAGGGTTTAACCAAGCTTTTTCTATACTACTCATTAAATAACTTATTTGTCATAATGACTAACGGATATTTTTCTCTCAATTTTATGGTCTGTTATGTATTCTCCTTAAATGAAAATAAACCAAATTAGGTAACTCATGGTTACTCTCAAAGCACATGAACTGGATTTTATGATGTATAGCAACTTCTTTGACTAAGCCATCACTCAAAAGTAATGAGCAGGAATATTACAGAAAGAAATACGCAACCATAAACTAAAGGATGTCTACATACACTCTGAACACAGAGATCAGAATTATTTTTTTTTTTAAACCTGGAAAATAAAAACAGGCTGCTACAAAATGCAACAGGGGAAAGAAATTAACATCACTTAAAAGAAGGTTTATTCGTTATTGCTGGCTTGAAACTCAGCACAGACACGCAGAATATGCACTGGTCTGTAGAAGTATCTCAGGCAATTAAGAAGTCCCCATGTTTAATCAGAATTTTTTGCTGCTGAAGTGCTGGAACAAAAAAAGGAAAAAAAAACCTGCAAGGAATGAAATAAGACCCCAGCTACCACTTGGTTTCCAGGTTACAGTGCATGTCAAATATCTGTCAGTGCCACCATGTATCAGTTTATGACAAGCTGCTGCAATGATCTGAAAGGCCCTTGAGGCACAGAGAACAGGTAGGTCAGCAGTTGCATGCACCCCACCTCTGCTCAGCATTTGCAAGGGAACAGCCTCTGTCCAGAAAGGCGATGCACTGGGTAAATTAGCTCCCTGCCTTAACATGTCTGCTTTTATTTAACTGAAATCTAATCAATGCAACAAGGAGGTGATGTTTAATCTATTCATAACTTAGCACACCTGAAGTTTTCTGTTTTCACAAAATTTCAGTTGGCATAACGTTAGAGTTAAGATCACCATTTGGTTTAGCAGATCTGCTTTTGATTTCCTCCTGGCTTTTGCCAATACGAAGCAATTCCATTTACCCAGTAATGCATTTGGAAAGGATTCTTGAAAACCATTTGCAGCCTGGACAGTGTACACAGAGGAAATCGTATTCTGAGGGTTAACGTAAACTAAATAGAGGTCGCCTAAATTAGAAATTTAAAAAAGCTATTGAAATATTTCTTGTTTCATTTCACACCTGAGACTAATATGTTCTAATTTACATCTTTTGTATTTAAGAGGCACATGTGAAATAACTGTTGAAGCATACTAAGAATTTTCATTGTACAATTTGCAATTAATAGTACTGTGCAACTGAGGCTTTTCAGAACTGCAGATGAAATCCATTTGCATACTGTATCCCAAGTGTGCTTAATTCATACTTTCATTAAAAAAAGAGCTCATTTTTGTTCACCTTAGTGATATCCATTTTTAATGTATTCAGAATGGAACAAAGGTCTGCATTTAAATTTATTTTCATGACAAGGACATCCCCTCTTAAATTTCAAGCTACCTATTAAAAAAAAACCCCAAAACCTCAAGTACCATAATAAGAAATTGAATAACCTCTCTCTTATTTATTCATTCCATTACAAACTCAAGAGCTGGCTGACAATATAAATAAGACAAACATCAGGTATTACATGCAGATGCTACATTTACAACCTATCGGCATGTGTAAAACAAAGCAGATGAGCCACAAAATAAAAAAAACCTCTTAGATGTAATAAACGCTACTTTATTTGAACCTCATTTATTCCTAAGACAAATATGCTATGTATATAAATCTGTTGGATTTAACTGCAGTTTGTATTAAAAAAAAAAAAACAAACCAAAACCAAAAACAAAGAACAAAAAACCAAACCCAGAACCCTGAAAGAGAAAATTTTCTTTTCTTTTTAAGTATTATTTTCTAAAATTATTCCCTTAGATCTATTCTGGAATAAAATTAAATACTCTTCCATTCCATGTAGGCATTGATTTCTTGAAGAAACTGAATATTCAAATCAGAAAAAGGAAAGTTAGTACTTGTATAATAAAATCCAATCCCCCAAACCCACCTAAGTTTTGCATTTGAAATTATATGTATTTATATAAGATTGTTGCAGTGGTAAGTTTCATACATGTAGATGCATACAAGATAAAAGTGAACAGAAGCCTTCAAGCTCCGAAACATCTGCTGAATTACAGAACTTCAAGTTTCAGCCACAACACTACTGTAAACTCTTCATAAGAAAGAGGCTGCTAAATTGCCATAAATAATTTAAATGTTCTTTTTATGATACATAAGCAACAGTGCTCCATGTTCCTATCACTTTCTTTTTCCACAAGAGCCTCTTTAAAATGATCTTGAGTACTAATTTGTTAATACTTAACAACATTCTTCTAAAATAACCCTCAACGCAATACAAAGGCAATGTACAAGTATAGTTTATTCAACAAATGGGCCCTTTGTAAAAACCACAGTACTATAAATAAAGCCTTGCCTCCCTAAGTGGAAGCTTTTCACTTTTTTTTTTTTTTAAACAAATCCTGTTTTCTTTTAAAAAGGAAAGACCTTATTCTAGATCCTCAAGCTTTTGAGTCTATGCCAACCAAAGCTCTAAACATACAGTAAATCAAGAGTTTGATAAGAATAGATGCTTTTCCTTCCTCCTCTTTCCCCAGCATTTATCTACAATAAGTGTCAAAAAAAAGAAATCAAATAGTTCCATATTTTATTTCATCTTTCAGGAGAAAGAACAACTGCAAGAAAAGAATGTGTTTCTCCCCCATTCTGGAAGTCAACATGCAGTCTGAATCTAACATTACAGTTCGAGATGCCATTGACGACATCGACACCAACATGTACCAACCACTGTCATATCCATTAAGCTTTCAAGTTTCTCTCACTGGATTTTTGATGTTAGAAATTGTTTTGGGACTTGGCAGCAACCTCACCGTGCTGGTACTTTACTGTATGAAATCCAACTTAATCAATTCTGTCAGTAACATAATTACAATGAACCTTCATGTACTTGATGTAATAATTTGTGTGGGATGTATTCCTCTAACTATAGTTATCCTTCTGCTTTCACTGGAGAGTAACACTGCTCTCATCTGCTGCTTCCACGAGGCTTGTGTCTCTTTTGCAAGCGTTTCAACAGCAATCAACGTCTTTGCTATCACTCTGGACCGATACGATATCTCCGTAAAACCTGCCAATCGAATTCTGACCATGGGAAGGGCTGTGATATTAATGACATCAATATGGATCATTTCACTTTTTTCCTTCCTGATTCCTTTCATTGAAGTCAACTTTTTCAGTCTTCGAAGTGCAAGTACTTGGGAAAATAAGACACTTTTGTGCGTGAGTACAAACGAGTACCACACTGAGCTCGGCATGTACTACCACCTTCTCGTTCAGATTCCAATATTTTTCTTCACTGTTATAGTAATGCTAATTACATACACCAAAATACTCCAGGCTCTAAATATTCGGATTGGTACAAGATTTACAACAGGACAAAAGAAGAAAGCTAGAAAGAAAAAAACTATTTCTTTGACCACTCAGCATGAGACTACAGACGTGTCCCACAGCAGTGGAGGAAGAAATGTCGTCTTTGGTGTAAGGACTTCTGTGTCTGTCATAATTGCTCTACGCCGAGCTGTAAAACGGCACAGGGAGCGACGAGAACGGCAAAAGAGAGTCTTTAGAATGTCCCTCTTGATTATCTCGACATTCCTCCTCTGCTGGACACCCATCTCTGTTTTAAACACCACCATCTTATGTTTGGGCCCAAGTGACCTTTTGGTAAAGTTGCGATTATGTTTTCTAGTAATGGCATACGGAACAACTATATTTCACCCTCTACTTTATGCATTCACAAGGCAAAAGTTTCAGAAAGTTCTGAAAAGTAAGATGAAAAAGCGAGTTGTTTCGATAGTGGAAGCAGATCCCATGCCAAATAACGCTGTAATACACAACTCATGGATAGAGCCTAAAAGGAACAAAAAGATTACCTTTGAAGACAACGAAGTAAGGCAGAAATGTTTAGTACCTCAGGTTGTCACTGACTAGATTTCAGTATTCACCAAAACACATCAAGTGGAATATTTGAACAAATTGTAGAAAAATACTGCCAAATAAGAAAAACTTTTTTAAACTATTGGCGAGACTGTAAATTTTCAATATATATGTTAAATAGAATAGGTCTTGTATATTCAATTTCTTCATTATGTAAGATATATGTTGCATGGCCGTTTGTTAGCGTAACACCATGTGTATATTTGTCAAAAATATTCAAGTCCTCTTTTTTAGAAAATAAATAGCCTTAAAGAAGTGCAAACTTTTAAAAATATTTGTATGGCTCAGTTTCTCTGTAAATATAAAAGAATTTTTAAACAAAAATTCCACTCGGGAATACTTTTCTAAAGCACAAATTCAACTTTTTGCATGATATGGTATTTTTAAATTTAATTTATTTTTAAATTTAATTCATAAACAGTATTGATCAGAGATAGAGATATTCTGAACGCTATACAGCTACAACTTGGACACATTTTGACATCATATTTAGATAACTACTTATTTTCAATTTCTCCAGCATGCAGCTACCATGCATGTGTAGACAAAGCCATTTACGTGATGTCCTTCAATTAATGGTTCAGAATCAGTTAATTTTGATGGGGGGGAAAAAAATCATATTGGTACAAAAATTGACAGTACTTTCAAGAAAAGTAAAAAGTCTTGTATCTACAACCTCAGATCCACAGTTTCTACATTGAAAATACACAACTTTGAATAATTACGCAGGAGGTGTGGAGGGAGTAAGGGGGAAAGACAAGCTAAATGAAGGCAAAAACCACAAAGTTATTGGGCTTGATGCTGAAGGTCAACCAACCAACAAAGCTGTTCTTGTGCAAAGGCTTAGATTTTCACACTGAAGGGGTTTAGCTAGACCTCTAGTGTGACATAGGAACCTTTTAAACAGAGATTTTTCATTTGTACCATCTATCTACATGATTAGATACGGCTATCAAATGCCACGGCTAATGTAGAAGATAATTTTCTTGCCCTCAGTAACTTTTATATTATTTTGACTTCACTTCTCCTTTGACTTTCAGTTCTAGCCATGCAACTGCTTTGTCACAAACCAATCACCAATACTCCTAGCTACTCTATTTCTGTATTTCCTGGACGGCCATGGTATATGAACATTCTACATCCTCCTTTTCTATTTCATCTTATACCTACAATGAAGAATCAAGAAGCCTTAAGAAGTCATCATCATCTATAGCACTGTAAGCAAGAATTAAGATATTCCTCCAAACAAAAGTTTGTTGAGTGGTTTGCACTATCTCATGCTTAAAAAAATATATAATCATCATTTCAATGAACAGTGTCTACATTCAGTGACTTAGTTACCAGTTATGGAGGGGAAGGGGAAACAAAACAAAAACCTGCAAAATCTATTAGCATGATTTCACTTGTCTTGTTATAAAAATTGCTCAGCGTGTCACCAGCTACTGGTATAATTAAAAGGCTAATTCTCAATAAGTATTGGCTTCTATAAAAAAAAAAAGCCAAGCATATCCTTGAATATAAAAGCTAGTTTGACTAAAGAATTACATTAAAAATTAGGATTTCTGAAGCACTTTTCTGAAGTTGCACATAAAAAAAAAAAATGTGGTTTTAACAGAGCAAAAAGCTGTTTTCCATTACATCATTAAATTATTATTATTAAATTATTATATGTGCATTGCCAAAACTGGTTTTGTAGTTTAAAAAAAAGTAGTACTTGTAATGTACCTTTGTTTACTTACGCTCATGCTTTAGCTTACCTGAACAGAAAACTCAAAAAAATACTACAGCTCCACATTCCACAAAGACCAGACACTTACAGTCATCCAAATTCTACCTGTTTTGTTATCTATTGATAATGATTCGTTGCCTAAAATTACTGTGTAAGATATATTCAAACATAATGTCACTGGCTTTTTTCTAAAAGCTAGCCCAGTGACACCGGCATTCAATGGTAACCACTTCAAGTGTTAATTTCATCCAAGCTATCCCTAGTTCCCCTAGTTTCCTACAAGAATTTGAAATCCTTCATTGTATTTGAGAGGTTGCAGGGGGGAAGTAAACTTAATGGTTTTATGCAAGAAGCTTTTTTTTTTAATCCCTTATGCTCCAAATTTATCACTTCAAAAACATGCTTTCAGGAATAAGCTCCTTCTGAGAAGAAATATGCCCAAAAAACCTAAGCAGGAACTATTATTTTTTATTTTTCTGTAATACTTCCTCCTTTCTCTGCCTAGCTATCCTCTGTATTTGAACACTGGAAGGAGGAGAAAGTGGGATCTCTAGGCATAGTATGATTGAGCTGATTACTTATCTTCCAATAGAACATTCTTAAATCAATTAAACATACTATTCTTTTCTTTAAAAAGAAGAAAAAAAGAAATCATAATGACCACAACACATGAATAAGCTTACATCATGTCCTTATCTGAAATAAGTATTTAAGCTTTCAGACTTGAAAGGTTTCTTGACAACATGACTTTACTTTTTAAAATTAAATAAATCCTCAAGACCTACACATTTAGTGTTAAAAGCTCATTCATTAGAAAGTCAGATTCAATGAAGCTGTACTTCATAACAAAGAGAAAATGCAGCCTAGGAATTAGTCAGAGAGATTAAGTCAGGTTTTAAAGGCTATGTCGATCACAGTCATTGATTGCCTTTAAGAATATAAGCAAGTTCATTTTTACATTTACTATTCTTCATCTTTAATTAAAGAAAAAAAAAAAAAAGGACTTGGAGTACGCTTTGAGGTCTGCAGAAGAAAATTCTGCATAGAGCAGGGAGTAATTTAAGTAAGAATATGTGCAATCCTATAAACACGCAGAAGCCATTATAAAACAGAATCATACATGATCTGTACCACAAAGACGACAGATTTAACACAAACAAGGCAAAATAAAGAGTAACTAGTGAAGGAACACTGTATATCCTACCGATACATAAGAGGATTTTAGGAGGGATATGAAGGTGTGCCGTGGGTGCTTGACAGACAGACGAAAACAGAATGCAAGAACAGGCAGCATCACTGGAGAAAAAAAGGCAAATATATGTCATAGTATTGTACAATAAGAAGCCCACCACATTCTTAAAAATGATCTCACCACAGTGAGTCATTAGTTCAATTACATTTCACACCACTCAGCCTAAGGCAAGCAGAATTGTACAGGACTCTAAAAATATTAATTCCAGCAAATACGTCTCAGAAACACAAGCAACCACTGCCAGTTTCCACATGTTCTCTGTCCCTGGAGTATTAGCTGGTATCTATGTTGTCTTTTAACTCCAGACGCATTTCCATTCAATTTTACACTGTAAAATGAAGTTAGCCCACACTAAAAATACAAAAAAGCTGAGTACAGTGCCAGTACCTATTAGAATATTCAAGAAGCACACCTTAACACACTAGTACATCACAAACCAGTGAAACAGAAAGGTAAATACATCACAAATACTTAGTTTCAAGTTGACAACAATTTTTACAAATTACAAGTCTCTGCTACATGATCAGAAATTCTGTTTACTCCATTGGTGCCAGGGGAATAGGAATCAATTCAGTGATTTCTAAATATATTAGGTTAAAAATGTATGCATCCGGATACATGTTAGATCAATACACCTCTCTTCCTTCTTGTTACATAAACACACACATGTACCTAATACATAATTATTATATATCCATAGGCACCAAAAATGGAGTTCAACATTAGCATCTATTTTATATTTATATGGAGGGGGTTTGATAAGAGTATCTCTAAACTGGAGAGACAGGCACCACGCCCCACCACGTATATTCTTAAATGCCTTCTCTTCCCACTTTTTTTTTTCTCTTTTTAAATGAAACAGTACATTCAACAAGGTTTATCATTTACCTGGGCACAAGGAAGAATTTTTCTGCTCTGTTAACTGTTACGTATGTCACATTGCAATGCACATAATAGTTCTTTTTCAACATCAGTGTATGTGCTAGTCATCAGAATTCTTTGATAGCTGCATATTTTAGATGTGTTTGTTTGCTCTGAAGAAAGTGGTTTAGTTACCAATTGCCATGAAACTCTTTTAAAATGAAAAAATACAGCATTCTTTAGCAAAGTTTCAATGTGCTGTTAAAAAATTTAGAATACACTAACTTACCCTTTCCTCCCCCATTGTCCAAACAAAATACCTCCAACATATAGCTAAGGACAATCAGCTTGTGTCTTAAAACCTTCCAGCTTTGTAACAGGCAAATTCCCCTCCCACTTCACACATTCTGCTGTGGTATCACTGAATTTATTTGTCTTACACCAACAGAAGAGAAGAATCTGACGCTGTAATTACCTTCTTTTTCTACTTCATACAACACTCATGCAATTCAAAAAGCAAAATTAAACACACAGTTTGGGTTTTGCTTTGCTGGGGAGGGTTCTGAAAAAAAAGAAAAAAAAAAGAAAAGAAAAAAAAAACCAGACATAAAACCTGACTAATAGGAAAATCAAAATTGACCTATACCCAATGAGTGTTAAAGAAGGATGTGAAGATGGAAGGTATAGGTCAAGAGCAGAAGGTAGAAGGAACCGCTGCAAGGCAGCTACGGCCATCAGGACGACAGAAAGGTGGAGGGCAATGTGCACCTGCCATGGAAAGAACGCCAACCTTATTTTTAAGATTACAATGAACAAAAAGATAAGAAGTACTTATCTTTGAATCATCAAGTGTGATGAGAGCACCGAGAGCGTGCATTATTCTACTACCTCTTTTTCTAGAGACAAACTATACATTCTACCAAGTAGAAACTACGTACAGAGTACACGCATTCCAAGAACAGACCTGAAAAGAAAGTGTTATTAGATGTCTGTTCCCAGCGATAAATTTTCAAAAATACTCTTGAATTTTCCCTCAGATCAGTATTGGTCAGATAACTTCAGTTTGTCTTGAAGCTTTGAATGTGTTTCACTACCACAGTATGTTTTCAATTACTGCTTCTTTATCTCAGTTTAATTATTTTTGTAGAGTAA